TCCATAGTTCATCAGGCACTCTGTCTATCAGATCTAGTCCCTTAAATCTATTTCTCACTTCCACTGTATAATCATAAGGGATTTGATTTAGGTTGTACCTGAATGGTCTAGTGGTTTTCCCTACTTTCTTCAATTTAAGTATGAATTTGGCAATAAGGAGTTCATGATCTGAGCCACAGTCAGCTACCAGTCTTGTTTTTGCTGACTGTATAGAGCTCCTCCATCTTTGGCTGCAAAGAATATAATCAATCTGATTTCGGTATTGACCATCTGGTGATGTCCATGTGTAGAGTCTTCTCTTGTGTTGTTGGAATAGGGTGTTTACTATGACCAGTGCGTTCTCTTGGCAAAACTCTGTTAGCCTTTGCCCTGCTACATTCTGTACTCCAAGGCCAAATGTGCCTGTAACTTCAGGTGTTTCTTGACTTCCTACTTTTGCATTCCAGTCCCCTATAATGAAAAGGACGTCTTTTTTGGGTGTTAGTTCTAAAAGGTCTTCTAGGTCTTATGGAACCGTTCAACTTCAGCTTCTTTAGCGTTACTGGTCGGGGCATAAACTCAGTAAGTTTTTATGAAAGAGAAGGCACACTTACTGATTCTTAAATATATGAGATTATCATGTTCTAGAGTCCATATTATTATTAGAAGGGAACTGATATTTAGTATTATTTATATGCTGTTGATTTTCTAATTATCTGCCAGTAGAGCTTATGTGAGAAAATAGGAATAATTGTAAATATAAATAACTTAAATATAAGATAAAAAAAGAATATTAGACTGACTACATTCACATGTTCTTAGTCGTGTCCAACTCTGTGTGACATTATCGACCGTAGCCCACCAAGCTTCTCTGTCCATGAGATTCTCCATGCAAGAATACCAGAGTGGGTTACCATGCCCTTCTCAAGGGAAAGTTCCCAATCCAGGGATCAAATTCGCATCTCCTGAATTGGCAAACAGGTTCTTTACTGCTGAGCCATTGGAGAAGACCCAGAACTGGCTCTTGGTAATATTGGAACACCTAATTTGAGTGGTAAATATTTTATTAGTCTGTCCTAAAGTGATAGTAGTCAATACTTATTGAGCTGTTACCATATTTCAAGCATTGTTCTAAGGTTTTTATGGTTTAACTCATTTAATTTTTGTTATAATCCTTGGTCATGTATGGGTGTCAGAGTTGGAGCCTAAAGAAAGCTGGGCACTGAAGAATTGATACTTTTAAACTGTGGTGATGGAGAAGACTCTTAAGAGTCCCTTGGANGAAATATGGCCTTTCCTTCTCATGGAATTGATGGCGAGGAAGCCAGAGTCCATAGTAGGCCCCCATCTTGCATCACCCCATTTGACATTTTTGCAGAAGTTTTAAGCTCTGTCTATGCTCTTTATTAGCTTCCCAAGTAGAGAACACTCAGGCTAGTGTTAAAGAACCATCCTCCTGCTCCCAGACAATGCAGGAGATCCAACAGATGTGGGTTCAATTCCTGGTTCAGGAAGATCTCCTGGAGAAGGAAATGGCAACCCACTCCAGTATTCTTGCATGGAGAATGCCATGGACAGAGAAGCCTGGCAGGTTACAGTCCATAAGGTTGTGAAGAGTTGAACACGACTGAAGCTACTTAGCACATGCACACATTCTCTTTATTTGGCTTCCCAGGTGGCGCAGTGGTAAAGAATTTGCCTACCAATGCAGATGAGGTGAATTCAAACCCTGGGTCACGAAGATCCCCTAGAGGAAGAAATGGAAATCCACTCCAATATTCTTGCCTGGAGAATTCTATGGACAGAGGAGCCTATAGCCCTGACAGGCTACAACCCATAGGGTTGCAAAGAGTCAGACATGACTGAGCATGCACGCACGCTTGCTATTTATTACATCCTTTAGCTCCTTTGTATCTGTCCACTAGGAATACTGGAGACTTGGGAGTATTCACCTCTTTTCAGTTCCCTGTACATTTTCATAGTCACCATTTTCCCAGAAGTCAAATGTCTTTGGAAACAAAGCAATAGGTTGGCCTTTGTGGTTTGGGGAAAAGTTTGTATCTATTCTCAGTCTTTGGATGGGAAAGATTTCCTTTAAAAAAGTTATAATTCCAAATAATTTATGTAGATACTCTCCCCCAGTCAAGGAGGTAGAGCTTAACTTTCCTCTTTGTCTGCCTTCAGAGAGTATTGTGTAGGCATTTAGGGAAAAAGTAACTTTGCTGAGACCTGGCAAGCAACCTTGGCCAGGTGATAAAGTTTACATCAAACAGTCATAAGTCAGGTCAATAGCATGTTTCCTTGATAAGTTGTGGGCTTCCCTTGTGGCTCAGCTGGTAAAGAATTCACCTGCAATGTGGGAGACCTGGGTTGGGAAGACCCCCTGGAGAAGGGAAAGGCTACTCACTCCAGTATTCTGTCCTGGAGAATTCCATGGACTGTGTAGTCCATGGGGTCAAAAAGAGTCTGACATGACTGAGCGACTTTCACTTTCACTTTGATAAGTTGTAATGAACATAACACTTCATCTCTCTTATCTTCCTTCCAACAACTCATAATCCCCATCTAAGCATACAAGAAGCATCAGACAAACCCAAATTGAAGGAGACTCTACCAAAAAACTGACTGGTATTTCTTAAACCTGTCAAGGTCATCTAAAACAAGCAAAATCTGAGAAATTGTCTTATACCAGAGGAAACTAAGTAGTCAGAAAACTAAATGTGTGGGATCCTGGGACAGGAAAAGGAAAGTTGGAAAAACTGGGAAGATCCTAATAAAATACTACCAATAATGTGCCAGTATTGATTTTGAAATTGTGACAAATGGTAATATAAGATGTTAACAATAGGGAAAATTGAGTGAAGGGGTTCCAGAACTCTCTACTATCTTTGTAAATTTTTTGTAAATCTAAAACTACTCTACAATGGAAATTTTACTTTTAAGCTCATTTAAGTTTGAGAGATACAGTCAACTAGGACAGAGGAAAAGGAAGGAACGAAATTAACATTTATTGAATACTATTATTTATTAGACACATCACTCAGCATTCATCCTTCTTACCTCCTTTAACACCAGAGTAAGAATCACATGCAGAGCAGGAAATTGAGGCTAAGAGTGTAAGAAACATCTCAAGGTTCTATGAACAAGTGAAAATGAAAGTGTTAATCACTCAGTCATGTCCAACTCTGTGACCCTGGGGACTGTAGACTGCCAGGCTTCTCTGTCCATGGGATTCTCCGGATCAGAATACTGGAGCGGGTTGCCATTCCTTTCTCCAGGGAATCTTTCCAATCCAGGGATTGAATGCGTGTCTCCTGTATTGCAGGCAGATTCTTTACCATTTGAGCCAGCAGGGAAGCTCCAAAGTTCTATAGCTGCTCAGTATGTAACAAAATTGGGAATAAAGTTTAGAAGGGGGAGTAGTAATCACAAAGGGTTAAAGGATGCAAGGAAAGGAGGCAGAAGGAAGAGGGCAGTTCTTGTGATTCTCAACAATTTTGTGAAAATAGGGATGTTTTCTGACCAGACACTTTCCAAGAAAATAATAATTTTTGGCAACATGGCTTGTAGCTGTTAAGGCTGAGGTCTATGACGTAAATGTTAAATATATTTGAAATCATTTCCTATTTACTGACTGGAATTATATACAACCATGTAATGGTTTCACTTCCTGTGTTTTCTTGATAAAAACTTTTTCTGTGGATTAAGCTAATCTAAAATTTTCATGTGGATTCATAAGACAAGCCTCAAAAATACTGAGGTATTTTTTTCTTTTTGCATTTTGGATACCACAGGTGAAGATGCAGGCATAACAATGGATAAAAGAACTTTTTGATAAATAACACTAATCAGCCCATATAATTTACACATAGGGCAAGGATAACGTGCATTTCTGTGACATTTTCTTCTACATAGTTTTTTCCTCTGACCTTCCAGATTTATGAGGATGGGACCTTTGCTTAACTGACTTCTCCTTCTCTGTGACTCTTCCTCTTTTATACCATCATCTGGCTAGATCTTTTACTCAAAGATGTAACTTGATCAGTGCAAACAAATGTCACTACTTAAGTCCACAGGATAGAGATTTTGTTGTTGGTGTTAAAGGTATATATTTACAGCCAGAAAGTGTCTGTTAATCCTTTGAGATTGATTTTTATTTCATCATAAATTATTTTCTTCCAGTGTCAGACCTTCAGAAGTCATAAACTTGGGTGTGAAATATATGGAAAGAAATGTTTATAAGAAAAAAACACATGACCTTTACAATGGTGGAATTATACAAAAATCATTCAGTAAGTTATCACTGTTGATATATCTTTATTATGGTATTATTTTATAGATTGTTATGAAGAAAACAAATAACTATGCTATGTGCCAGGAATATTGGTGGTGGTGGCTTAGTCGCTAACTTGTGTCTGACTCTTGCAACCCCCAATGGACTATTGCTCACCAGACTTCTCTGTCCATGGGATTTCCCAGGCAAGAATACTGGAGTAGGTTGCCATTTCCTTTTCCAGGGGATCTTCTTGACTCGGATTGAACCAGGAATGTTGGTATTCCTTAATAAACCTGAAAAAGGTCTTGTGATCTCCACTGAAGAAGGGAAGACAAGGAGGCTCAGAGATATTAAGTGACTTGTCCAAGCCTTCACAGTCAACAAGTGGCAGAAGTGTAAAGTCTAAGCCAGAAAACATGTGGAAAGTGCCCAGTGTAATTTCCAAAATAGAGTTGGCACTGAAATGTTAATTTTATACCCTAAGTGTTTAAAAGATAAAAATAAAATTACAACTTTTTTTTTTTTTTTGCTCTCAGAAAGCCCCAAACCACACAGAACGGTGTATTTTTTTTTAGTTTTGGCAGACTAGATAAAGAATTATTAAAAAAATTAATTAAAACAAAAAAATTGTTATCATACTGAAGTGTATTATTTAGAAGAGTAGTGAGAATCATTCTGGAAGCTCCATCATATAACAAGAATATTTCACTCACTACAAATCTTTTGTCAACTTATGCCCAAGGGGGTGCTGCACTTTCATAGAGCAAAAATGCTCATTTCTGTTGAAATTTTTGCTGTCAAAAAGGTACATTGTTATTTGTTAATATTCAATGCATATTTACAAACTAATCTGCTCAATAGGGGTTTTGCCAAGATTACATGAAATAATTATATGTGAAGCACTTAGTGCTTGGCATATTATAAAAACTCAATACAATTTTATTACTAATATTATTAATTATTATTAGTAGTATACCTTGGAGCACAAGTTTTGGAATGAAATATATTTGAGTAGATGTCCAAGGTCTGCCATTTACCAATGATACTTTACAGGTTGTGAATATTTCTCCTTTGGTTTGACATACACTGGTTTCCAAAGTATGTTCCCTGGTCTACCAGAATTAGCATCACTGGAAAGTTAGAAAAGTAAATTCTGGGGCCCTATGCCCACCCGCTGGAGAAGGAAATGACAACCCACTCCAATATTCTTGCCTGGAAAATCCTATGGACAGAGGAGCCTGGCGGGCTCAGTCCATCGGATTGCAAACAGTCGGACATGACTGAGCAACTAAGCATCCCCACCTAACTAAATCAGAAACAGGAGTGGCGCAAGTGGTTTATGCTTGAACAAGACCTGCAGGTGACTCTGATATCTGGTATAGTTTGAGAACCACTGACATAGCACACAGCTTGTTTCTGAGTAGATGCTGGTTATGAGACAACACAATAACAAAAGCACAGTTTTTACTTTAGAGCTAACAATCAAGAACACACAGAATCACATCTTTTTAATTAATTATTTTTTGGCTGAGCCTTGTGGCATGTGGTGTCTTAGATCCCCAACCTGGGATCCAACCCATGCCCCCTGCAGTGAAAGCGTGAAGTCTTAACCATTGGCCTGCCAGGGAAGTCCCTAGAGTCATGACTTGAATTAAGTTTTTGTTGACTTCTATTCCATTTGCTAGGGATTTCCCCAATGGCTTAGCAAGTAAAGAATCCACCTGCAATGCAGGAGTCACAGGAGGTTTGGGTTCGAGCCCTGGTTGGGGAGATTCCCTGGAGAAGGAAATGACACCCAGCCCAGTACCCATGGACAGAGGAGCCTGGTGAGCTATGGTCCATGGGGTCTCAAAAAGTCAGACATGAATTTTTGACTGAGCACACAAGCATTCCATTATCCATTCATCCCATGAAACAAAAAGAAAACTTTCCACTCTGTCCAAGACTGTGCTTGTAAAGGCACAGTTACAAGTCTTCCTTCTCATTATCTCATCATGTGCATCATACATATAGTAATACAGCCCTGGTTTACATTAGAGCAAAATGAAATTGTACCTGCATATTCAAAATTTTAGCTATATTGTTAAATTAAATGCTGAAAAATAGGCTTCACCTCACAAAGCCTGCAATTTTCTTGCAGAAAAAAAGAGAAACTGGAGCTTTCCCAAAATTGCAGAATACTCATTTTCCAGGGAAGATCACAAAAGAATACAAAATGAAAAATAAATGAATGGGGAGTCTTGAGTTTCTTTTCGTCCCTTTGAATAAAAGGACCACGGCTTTATCTTGAACAGCTGTGTTTACAGGGTTTGCTGATCACTGCAGCTGTACCAGCTGAGTAACGGGAAGGTTAAATTTTAAAAAAAGAAGTTAACTTGGAAATGTGCTAGCTCTTTCTGAGGGATTAATGATATTGTACTTTTTTTCATCCTCCCTTAAAACCTGCTGTTGTGAAGGCAGTTTTAGGTCATTAAGCATTGGAACATTGAAAGAGCTACCTGAAGTGAATAAACCAGCTTTTCTTCTAGACCCTGAGAAATACTTTAGGGAAGGCCCAGAGGAGCAGTGTCCCCAAATTCCAGAGTTTCCATCACTTTCTGAAAGTAAGTCCTCAACCACTGTACCACTTCCATCCTTTCTCTCCAGGAAACTCAACCAATTAAGAAAACAAAATGGAGAAACATGAAGGTAACACATGTTCGCCTTGTAGGTGGCAGTGAAATGAAGTGTGGTTTGACTGTTAAGATTTATAGCTTACTTGCTGGTCAGTGCTCACAGAAAGGACAGCTAATGGGCTGAAATACATAAAAGGGATATTTTTATTTTGCCACTTTTCTGAAGTCAGAAAGCCATGAATAATGTGTTCTGCTATGAATAATAACCTTTTCCCCCCAATAATCTAAATTTTCAAATCTGATACCAGAGAAAAAGACATCCTAAGGCTGCTACTGAACAGAATCTCTGACAATCTGGGCTTGTTCTTTTCATGTGAAAGTCTGTAAATGGCGGCTACTTAAAGTGTATTGTCTTAGAACCTTCCAGCGGCAATGCTAGGCTAATAGGATGAGAGGAAGAGAAAGCTTGTCTTAGAACATAGAAGTGAATGGTCTCTGAACATTTGGAAACAAGATGTGCAAAAGAATGCTCCATTTTTTTCAGATTGTTATAGGCTTCCAAGTTTCTAAGAACTTAAAGAGTAATTCTGCACAAACATCCTACCCGCAAGGAGGGACACAACGGGAGTGCAGGCGATACAACCTGCTACTCAGCGAGGCACTCGGAAAGCATATGGACACCGCAGGGAACTCATTTAAAATAATTAATGAAAAGGGACATTTTCAGCTTGTAGTAGTCAAAAGATCAGAACTGCACTCGAACCTTCTGAGATCTGTGGTTTCTAAACTTTTCAAATCCTCTGAGATGGGGGTTCAACATCATCCTTGAGAAATAATAACCCTTGTAGGAGGGAGAGGTTTATGCTTAAACTTGAGGAAGTTTAAGCCTCTTGTCTCTGCTTGCTTCCCTATGACAGCTGGTCAACATTTGTCTTTTTTTTTTAAATTCCACTTGTAAGCAAGGTACAGCTGCCTTTCCTCACCACTGTATTTCCACTCTAATTATTAATCAGCTTCCTTTGCTTTTTCTCAGTTTCTCTTTTCTAAATCTAGTGTTGATTTGCTCTAAGGAGGATCATCTATGATACCTGTTCATTTCCTTTTAAAAACATGAATCCATAAACAGTAGGGCTTTAAATAACCTTTAGTTCATCCGACAGGGCTTTCAGTCTATCAGCCAATTGCTTTTCCCCCAGGATGATTCATTCGCAAGAATAAACATGGGAGGACTTATCATGTCCTGCTGAGTCACAGACGGAAGAGAATTTGGGGAACAGCGAGTCAGAAAAGATCCAGGGAGCCAGAACAAAGTGTAAAGGCAGTCCAGACATAGAACATGTACCCAGGAGGAAACCACGATGGAGCAGGGTCAGAACCGAGGCAAAAGAAACAGGAGAGGCAGAATGCAGAAACCTGAGAGCCAGGAAGCAGGAGAAAGAAATGATGAGCGCAATAAATGACTCTCCTCAGACCTGGGGGCTCCTGTGTTTTTGAGGAGCCTTGCACATTCTGCAGCAGGACAATTCTCCTTTGTCTTCAGACAACTGCTCCTCATGGGCAGGGAGGATGTGTAAGGGAAGGTAGGGGTGAATGACCGGTTGGAAATACTAAAAATGCAAAGAAACCTCTAATACATTTTCAGAGTTCAAAGAGAATTTTTTCTCCCAGATATCTTAATATAAAATGTTCCTGTAATTTCCACACCATTTAAAAAAGATGCTTGCTTTCTTTTGCTTTTCTATTTTATTCTTCAGCTTTTCTTCCTTTGCTCCCTTCTAAGTATTTCTACTCATCTGCTTTCTCTGCTAGGAAAACAGTTCCTTTTTGAAAAAGTTTCATCGACTTGAGAGAGAGACAGATATAAACTATTGAGGGTGACAGAATGCATGACGCAAGACACCACAAATGGAATCTGTGGAAGTACTGGGCAAGAAGGCGGACTAAGTTTGTTCTGTGCTGTGCTTATTCACTCACTCATGTCTGACCCTTGGTGAGCCCATGGCCTGTAGCCCGACAGGCTCTTCTGTCCATGGGACGGAACCCAGGATCGAACCCAGGTCTCCTGCACTGCAGGCGGACTCTTTACTGTCTGAGCCACCTGCCTGGGGCATGATGCTTCCCAGGTGGCATTAGTGGTAAAGAACCCACCTGCTAATACAAGATATGTAAGAGAAGCAGGTTCGATCCCCGGGTCAGGAAGATCCCCTGAAGGAGGAAATGGCCAATCCTCTCCAATATTCTTGCCTGGAGAATCCCATGGATAGAGGAGCCTGGCAGGCTACAGTCCATGGGATCCCAAAGAGTTGGATACGACTGAGGTGAATTAGCACACATGGGGCGTAAGAATGAATTAGTTCAAATTTCCTCTGAGCAGTAGTGTTAGTCGCTCAGTCATGTCCAACTCTTCGAGATCCCAATGGACTATAGCCTGCCAGGCTCCTCTGTCCATGGGATGCTCCTGGCAAGAATACTGGAGTGGATTGCCATTCCTTTTTCCACAGAATCTTCCTGACCCAGAGATCGAACCCGGGTCTCCTGCATTGCAGGCAGATTCTTTACCATTTGAGCTACAGGGAAGACCCTGTGGACTTAAAATGGGTAGGAGTTCAAAGGGTGAGGAAGGAGAAGAGGATGTCTAGACCAAAGAAACATAAGGAAAAAGGTAAGGAAATCAGGGGTGAAGCAGGGCAGAAGTCCAAATGATTCCAAGCTGGCTGCAGTGGGTGACTTCAGACAGTGTCATGGTGACTGAGTTTGACACAGATGAATAGAGTTGAGTTTGGAAGGTGTTGAGTTTGAGGTACTGGTATGCTAGTTAGAAATAAAGGTCTGGAGAATGCCCCAGGATTGCAACATGCTCTGCATAATAATGGTCTTCAACTAGCTGATACAGAAATCATGTCTGCTCATGTGTGTGTTTAGCCTCCCCGGTGAATATTGAATGCCTTCTCTGCTGGATGGTGAAGGCACAGAGCTGACATGTAGAGGGACAGTCTTCAAAGTTCTTGAAGGTTAGTTGGGGAAATAGATAAGGAAACAAATCATTATGTTGCAGGAAGGGGGACCTCTTCCAGGGCCCGAGAGGGGACCCTTGTCTAACACTCGGAAATTAATTGTCTGAGGAGACACGTGTGCTGACAAAGCAAGAGACTTTATTGGGAAGGTGTTCCCAGGTGGAGAGCAGGAGGGTAAGGGAACCCAGGAAGACGGCCCTGCCGTGGTGATGTCAGGTCTTATGCCACGTAATACTGTGGTCTTCTGGTAATGGACTCATTTCTGGGTTGCCTCTGGCCAATCATTCTGACTCAGGGTCCCCCCTGGTGGCATGTATATCACCCAGCCAAGATGGACTCCAGTGGGAAGGATTCTGGGAGGGTGGAAGAACATATGGACTGGCGTCTCCTTTAGACCTTCCCTATTGATGGTGACTTGTTGGTTCCATGTTCCTTACCAGGACATATGGTTATTATGGTGCTTGGCCAGGGTGGGTGGTTTTAGTTAGTGTTTCCCCCTTGCAATTATGTTTTACAGCAGAGGCTATAATAGCGGTAAGCCCTGGGTACTGTGGGACCATATGGAGATTCATAGTTGATTCTCCAGAGAAACCAGATCATGCCTGAGCTCGATAGTAAACGTTAAATCGATATTATTCAGATTAAAAAAAAAAGTATATGTTTATTGTAAAGGAGCAGTGTATGCAAGGGTAAGGTCATATGAACAAGATGGATGGTGTGTGCTTAGGGATGTGTCCCATTTAAATGGCTGGGTTCTAGAAGGAACATGAGAATTAAGGCTAGAGAGGCAAATGGAAGCCAAAGCATACAGCGCTTGGCTTGCCATGTTAGGACTTTGGTATTTATTTTACCAGAAATGAGGAGCCATTGAAATGTTTCAGTCAACTGTTCTGAATTATCCTATTTTATCTCTTCTACTAATTCTTCAGTTTTTATATCTGTTTGTGTTATTCTTTTAATGATTATTATAAAGGTTACAATACTCTTTCTTGTGTCCTTTAGTTCTTGTTGGGGTACTAGGCTTCCAATGACATTACTTTCCTTCGTTCAGAAGAACTTCCTGCAGTATTTCTTATAATGTCTCATGGGTCTGATGGCAAATCATTTTCCTGGCTTTTTGTTTCCGAAAGAAGTGTTTATTCCATTTTGACTTTGAAAGGATATTTCATTGGATTTAAAACTCTAGATAGCAGTATTTTTCAACTTTTTGAAGATGCTATACCATTGCTTCCTTGCTCCCATAGTTTCTGTTTAAAATTGCACTCTTCATAATATTGTTACTTCTTTGAGTGTAATATTTTTTTCTGACTGTTTTAAAGGTTTTTCTCTTTATCCTTGGTTTTTAGCAGCTTTATCATGCTGGGCATAAGTATGCTTTTCTCTGTATCTATACTGCTTGGGGTTGATAGGAATTTTTGAATGCATCTTTCTTCAATGTTGGGTAATTCTCAGCTATTATCTTTATTTCTTTTCAATTACCACTTTCCAGTCCTGCTGGGATTGCAATTACATATATTTTGGACTTTAATTATATCACAAATGTTTCCTGTGTTCTCATATTTCCATTTTATTTTCCTCTCTGGGCTTCATTTTAGATATGTTATATTGATTTATGTTTGCATTCACTAATCCTGTCTCTTTTGCAAGTCTTTTAAACCTATGATATCAGTTTCCAATGTTAGATTATATATAAATATATGTGTGTGTGCATATATACATATATTCAATTCTAAAATGCCATTTGAATCTTATATATATATATTCTAATTCTCAGTTGAAAATACTTAAGTATTTTAAATTACTTAAATTGTGTTTTAAATTACTTTATGTCATCCATTTTGTCCAAATATTCTCTCTGTTTTCTTTGACATAGTAATAATTTAAAGTCCTGGCCTGCTGACATCAATATCTGGATGATCCTTGGATCTGCTTCTAATATCTATTTTTCCTTTTTGGTTATTGGTCACATTTTAT